AATATTTCAATGTATAGTGGTATATAGATATACAAGTTTCTTTAGGCAGGTAACAATGTTCCGAAATAAACAAATGACATTTAATGTCAGGGTAATAGTGTCAAAGCTTGTCAGTTCCCTTCGCGTCTTAATTTCACGCATTTTGTGTGGATTTTTAATGTTATTTCATGAAAAAAGTGATCAAAGTGCTTATAAGTAGTATTAGAGTGGTGTTTTCGAAAGTGGGAGATATTTTTACCACGGAAAAGAAGTAGGGGACCAGGAATTACATTTGAAAAATATGAATCAACTTGTGTCTGTTGTAACGAAAATGTGATACCATTTGTTAACTCAACAAATTCCCTATTCCGAAAGGGATGCATGTATGTTTAGTTTTGTAATTAAAAAAAAACGTTAAATACTAATTGACTTATAAATATTTTTCTGATAGTTGTTTTATTACCCATTCTCTTCAAATTGAGTTCAGTTTCTTTTTAAAGTGACAGAATCCTTAGTTGTAATGTGTTTTGTGCAACTGGAACTATTTCCTTCATGACGTCAAATAAACAAGGATTTTGGTTTTTACCATACTCTTTTACTTATGAAATAAGGAAATTACTGTGTGTACTCAGTAATGTGTCAAGAAACTGGCGTTCTGATAAGTTTAAAATGCACAGTTCAAACAACTGGGCATACCATATAGTCTGTGTTGTGTGTTGATTGTAAACAACAAACAATCATTAAGATTTCTGTTATTGTGTAGATGAGCGCTAAGTCGCACAATTTCTATTATGTTAAGGGTATGCCTTCCCTAACCATCTCAAGAGTGCATTGCTAAAAGTTTGCTACCAAAGTTCTTTAACTATAAAGTCGACAAACGAAGTCTGGGGCATTCCCTAGTTACTTTGTAAGGTACAAGACCTTAACAATTTGCGTTCGGGTCATCAAAAGGAAAGAATTTCCCCTTAATGTGGACATACTAGCTTGTTGGTAACCCTAAATGCTCAGAGGCGCCATCCTGTCAATGTCAAAAAGGTGCCACAAGAGCCTTGCGGGACTATATAAACTGGTGATACTGTCAATTTTAACAAGTATGATTACCTACATATTAATACTAGCTTTCGAGAGCGACTCGATCCGCGTGGTTTTAAAAAAAATTAAAACTGGTGATTAAACTGTGTTCTTTCAGACTGTAATGTACATCATATATTATAATATACTAATATTATAAAGAGGAAAACTTTGTATTTTTGTATGTATTGAAATAACTCAAAAACCACTGGACCGATTTTAAATATTGTTTCACCATCAGAGAGGTAATTTATCTGAGAGTAACATAGGCTATATTTTATTATTACTAATGTTTAGCAACTATTAATAAACAGCGTGTTTCTGGATGCCGCCGTCCAAAATAATTCGTTTACAGTGGTCATTTTTTTTTCTTTAACAAGCTTAATAATTAGGTTTTCGTACCCTTTTTTGGAATTACTCACACGAGAACAAAAAAAATATCGAAAATTTTCTTAAAACAAAATTTCTTTCTTCGACTCTTTACACTACGTACTCTTAGTACATAGATCATAACTTAACGTGATGGATGTTATTATCTGCATATTTTTAAAGAAAATGAGTATAAAGCTGTATTTTTGTGGAATGTAATGTTTTATTGAAAAAAGTTAAAATTTTAAATACAGTAAGAAAGCCTAATTATTAGGCTTGTTAACGAGAAATAATGACCACTGTGAAAACACATTGTTTTGGACGTACGGTGAAATTTGAGTCAGAAATCTGATTTTTTTCCAAAAAAATAAATAACTCAAAAATTTCGGGTAATCTCTAAAACGGCTGGACCGGTTTCGACCGCACTTTCACTGGAGGGCAGCTGACATTTCATAGACCCGTATACTATAGGCTTCTGTTTTTTTAATTCCGCGCTTTCAAAATGGCGACCGGAGCGTTATACCGATTTGGACGGGACTTTGACTGGTAGGTAGCTGGTAAAAAGTAGATGCACCCGGGAATGTTATAGCTCATGTACAATAAAATTGTCTTTTAAGTATTTTTAAATTGGTGTCATAGTTTAAAAGATATCGCGAACAGAAACAATCAGGGTAATCGAAAAGTCAGCGCAGTCATCAGTAGATTTCTGGTATTACGTAAATTACTACTAAGTTAATATTTTAGGTAATAGCTG